AGAGGATCGAAAGGAAAATTTGGCCATGGCTGCAGCGGCAGAGCTGCGGATGGCGGCAGGTCTGCTATTTTTGGTAGAGGCAGAGGAGGTGGTGGTGGAGTGACTTGACTGGGGCGAGAGGCAGAACTATTTGGAGCTCGAAGCGTCACTAAGGGATTTACAGGTGGGTCCGAGCCCAAGTTGGTAAGGCGAAATGAAGGCGGGATGGACTGTTGATTAGATCTTTGATTATCTTTCGCCTCAAATTAGCACGTGACTTAGGGGAGGTGCAATTCTAGGTAGCCGCGGGGCAATTCGCACCTATATGGCCCCAACCTTTGCAGGCCCAGCAATAGATGTGATTTGAGCAGGCCGCCCGAACGTGGCCCGGCATGAGACATCTAGCACACACCGGCTGATTGTGGACATGCGTTAGCCCAGGTCCCGGCACAGGCCCAAGAATCCCTTTTCCATTTGAATCGAATCCCTGAATCCTAGCCCTTGATACGTCTCTACTATTAACTCGAGTAACTGCCACTTGAGCAGAAGCTGCCGCCGAGTGATTAAAGGAAAGCTGCAGAACGATTGGAAACGGAAACTCGGGTTCGATCCGGGATGAATATTTGAGGAATTTGAACAACTTGAGAATAGGATTTTGATTTTCCTTTCCTGAACACTGGGTCCATTCATCATCTTTTTCACGACAGAAGAGCTCAAATTCTCTGAGGTAATCCGGTCCTCGTCCTCCCCATAGCTAGAACGAAAGATTGAAATTCTGATTTGAGATATTACCTCCATGAATGATGAAAAGAATCACCTCCTTAGATGCAACAGAGAATTTGAATGTCCAATTCTGGCAGCATTTGACCTTGAAACGTGAGGCATGTCCATTGAAACATGATTGTAGGATGAGACTCACGAAATCTTCATTGAGCCTGATCTTGGATCTTGAGAATTTGGCAACTAAGAAGAATTCCTTAAGATTCCTACCTTCCAAGAAATTGATAGGCACTCCAAACTTCTACCAGACCTGCTCTTCAAACTTGAGCTCTGCTTCAAACTGCAGATCCGAGAGAGCCATGGCGCACACGGGTTGGACGCCAGTTTTGGAGTGAACCTCGGCGATAGGGACGATGGGTGGGGATTGTTGGTCGCCATGGCCGGAGCGGCCGGGAGCGACGGCTCCTAGACTCGGGCTACCATAGCAAATCCCCAGAGGCCCCCAAGAGCAAACTTGTGTCTAATATTATTGTTATTAGTGGATATGAAGATTAGTGAAGATTATTATTGTATCGAGGCACTATTGGATCATGCGCCAATCATTCTTGACTCTAACTCTACGAACACATCGACCCGTCGCCCTTTCAAGTTTGAATTGGGATGGTTGCACGGGGAAGGTTTTGTAGACATGGTCAAGAACATTTGGGAGAAGCGCGTTGTTGGTCGTACACTCATTCAGAGATGGAACTTTAAAATAAGGGCCATGAGGAAACACCTCTCTGGATGGGCCAAACACACCAATGGGATGTATAAAAAAGAAAAATAGTGCCTCTCTACCATTATTGATGACCTCGATAAAATTGCAGAGACGCGCATCTTATTTCAATAGGAGATTGATTTGAAAAATCAATCCAATGATAAGGTTGCACGTCTTTTGCGAGAAGAGGAAATCAAATATTACCAAAGATCCAAAGCTGATTTCATCTTGATGGGAGATAGTAATACAAGATACTTCCAATTGGTCGCCAATGGTCGACATAGGAAGAAACGTATTTATAGTCTCCAACAAGATGAAGGGCGGATTGAAGGTCATGACGAGCTCAAAAGGTATATCACCAGCTACTACAAATCTTTGTTCGGGCCGCTAGATGAAAGGAATTTCACCCTTGACGAGAACCGAACAGATGATATTCCTCAAGTCACGGAAGAAGAGAATGACTTCCTCACGGCACCTTTCTCAGAAGAGGAGATGAGAGCAGCAGTGTTCCAAATGGAACATAACAAAGCTCCGAGACCAGATGGCTTCCCCGCAGAATTCTATCAGAATTTCTGGGATATCATCAAGTCTGACCTTTTGGAGTTGTTCAATTGTCTTCATGCCGACCGACTTGACCTATTCAGGCTGAATTGTGGCGAGATTATTTTGTTGCCGAAGATTGAGGAGGCTGGACGGATCCAACAATATAGACCCATATGCCTACTTAATGTCAGCTTCAAGATTTTCACCAAAGTAGCTATGAATAGGTTAAACTCGATAGCTGACCATGTTGTCCGGCCATCTCAAATGACATTCATGCAAGGAAGGAATATACTCTATGTCGTAGTAATCCTGCATGAGACCGTTCACGAGATGCACCAAAAAAACATGAGTGGAGTAGTATGCAAAATTGACTTTGAAAAAGCCTATGATAAGGTTAAATGGTCTTTCCTCCAACAGACCTTAAGGTGAAAGGTTTCTCCGATAAATGGCGTTAATGGATCCACAATTTTGTAACTAGAGGTAGCGTGGCCATCAAAGTCAATGATGATGTAGGCCATTACTTTCAGACAAAAAAAAGGACTACGACAGGGTGACTCCATGTCCCCAATGTTATTTAACATTGTTGCTGACATGTTGGCCATTCTGATTGAGTGCGCCAAGCAGGATGGACAGACTGCAGGAGTAGTGCCACACCTTGTGGATGCGGCCTCTCTATTCTGCAACATGTCGGTGACACAGTTCTTTTTATGGAACATGACCTGGACAAGGCTCGAAACCTTAAACTCTTGCTTTCAGCGTTTGAGCAAATGTCGGGTCTTAAAATTAACTTCCATAAAAGCAAACTTTTCTGCTTGGAGAAGCCGTTGAGGCGGCGGCCGATTATGCTGACCTGTTGGTTGCGCACATGGCCATTTCCCGATTAAATATCTGGGAATACCGATTAATTATCGACGTCTCACCATTGCGGAGTGGAAGCATGTAGAGGAGCAGTTAGAGAAGCGGTTAAGCAGCTAGAAAGGCAAGCTCCTCTCTGTTGGAGGACGGCTGATTTTGATTAACTTTGTACACACAAATATGGTTCTCTATATGCGTTCTTTCTTCCAACTCCCAAAAGGGGTCCTGCAAAGACTGGACTATTTCAGATCCAGATTCTTTTGGCAAGGAGAAGGGAAAAAGAAAAAATATAGACTAGCTAAGTGAGTGTGGTTTGTAGGCCGAAAGATCAAGGTGGCCTTGGAATTCATGACCTGCGGGTCAAGAATGAGGCTCTCCTTAGTAAATAGTTGGTCAAACTTCTCACTGAGGATGGTGTTTGGCAAACCGTACTGCACAACAAGTATCTAGGCCACAAGGCGGGGTCTCAGGCATATTGGAAATCTGGCGACTCGCACTTTTGGGCTGGCCTAATGGCGGCAAAGAAACATTTCTTTTGCTTTGGGTCTTTCGCGATAAAGGACAGGTCGGAGATTCGTTTTTGGGAAGACATCTGGCTAGGCGGTGCCAGTCTCCGAGAACAATATCCAGCCTTGTACAACAT